CAGCAGAAAGCCAAAAGAAACACTTGTGAGATACAATCACTCTTCTGATTTATAGTCCCTTTGCTTCAAATGACTCTGAGTGCTGAAACAACTATGATCTCCACCTGTGGGTGGGGAGTAGTTCCTAATAACAACCTGGTAACCATAAAGAGGATGACTTCCTTATGGACTGACCATGGGAAAGAAAGGCTGTTTCTAGGAGGAGCAAGTGTAGATGTTAGAGATATGAGGGAGCAGGCTGGGATCCTGGGGTGAGGTTAAGGAAGTGTAACAGGAATATTATCCACAATATATAGGAAAGATGTACCTAGTAGCCTAGTAGTCCAGGTCAGAGAAGATGTTCCGATGGCAATTGATCTGTTTTAGATTTTCTTTTTTTTTTTGGTTGGTAGGCGGTTATTTTTGTTATATTTAATTGAAGAAAGGGCTGAATTTTTTTTTTTTTTTTTTTTTTTTTGGGGGTTTTTGCTATAGGGCACATGCGCTCGCCAGACAGACAGAGAGAGACAGAGAGACAGAAGGCGAGAAACCACCCCCAGGGGGGGGATAGCCACGCTGCAATCCCCTCTCCTCCATTCTCCTCTCGGGATCTTGGGCATGCACGCACACACGCCCTGCGTGAGTTTTAAGCCACCGGGTCCGGTACGTGAACCGTGGTCGACTACATGGGAGTTCAGCGACATAGCCATTATGCTAACTGCTAGTCCCCAGAGCTGAATATTTTTGATGATTAAATAAACTCTGGTTTCCATTTTATTTTGTCAGAGTAAACCTGCCAGAGAGACAGGGAGAGGGAAAGTACCCCCCTTATGGGGTACTTTCCCTTCTCCTCCACTTTTTCCTCCTGTCAGGATTTTAGGCATGGACACACATGCCCCTGACATGCTTTTCAAGTCACTGGGGCCAGGATTTGAACCGTGCAGTCAGCTATGTGTGATTTGGTTTCTTCAACTGCCAAGTCATGCGGCCTGTCTTGCTTTTCTTCCAATTCATTCTTTCTTCATCCCCTTACCAACCTCTTAGTATTTTTTGTATTTTTTGCGTATTGTTTTTGAATATCAGATCTCAGAGAGGTTTTCCAAAAAAATGCTGAGGAGGTTAGAACTCAACTTTTTTTCCAGTAAGTTAATGTCTTGGTTTATAGATGACAGGATGAGATGCCAGTGAGAATGTTGAGATGATAACTTTTAAAGAAGGTGAAAGTGATGGACCAGTTCTGTAGCATAGCATTAAGCTCTCAGCATAGGGAGCCAGAACCCACAAGCCCAACTATGGTTCAAATCTTGGCCCCAGTGGCTTGAAAAACATGCCACGTGTGTGTGTGTGTGTGTGTGTTTGTGTGTGTGTGTGTACACATGCACACCAAATCCTGAAAGGATGGAATAACAGAGGAAGAAGGATCACAGCATGACCATGCCTCACTGAGAGGTGCTCTCTATCTCTTTTTTTATCTGGTGAACACACACACCTTCTGGCAACTTTAGAAAAAAAATTGTACTCAAGAAAGATGACCAGATAAATGGTCTAGAAGTGGATGTGGAGGCCAAATAGAATTGCAATATCTGAAAGTCCTGAGACCTCTGGATCACAGGGAAGAAAGCAACACAAGAAATGAGCACAAGGACACAAGGACACATACTCAAGGACACATATGGTCAAAGAGAAACTTCAGGTCATCAGGACAAAATCAATTTGAAATTTAAAGGGACCATAATGATCAAAGAAAAGTCTGTGAATATACAGGAAATTGGGTAAAAATAACATGGGTTAGGCTGGCCCCATAACCAAGTGGTTAAGGAAGCCAAATCCCACATGGCCAGGTGCAGTTGGAATCCCAGCACTAGCAGTTTGAAAAACACACTGGTGTGTGTGTGTGTGTGTGTGTGTGTGTGTGTGTGTTTGCCCCAAATCTTGACAAGATGGAGAAATGGAGGAGAAAGGATCATGGTGTGGAACAAGCAGATGGCATAATGGTTACGTTGTTGGACTCCCATGTAGCTGACCATAGTTTGAGTCCCAGACCTGGAGGCTTGAAACTCATACCAGGTGCATGTGTGTTCGTGCCCAAAATCCCCAGAAGAGACTAGAGGAGAAGAGATTGCGGCATGGCCATCCCCCCTGGGGGGTGGTATTTCTTGTTTTCTGTCTC